TCACCGGTTGTGGTGAAAACTATAGACAAAGAGGAGCCCCAAAACGCAATAAAGTCGGATGCGCATTGAGCTCTCGCCTCACAACGCAAGCATGGCCACTTCGGATCCCGAAAAGTTGATCGCCAAGGCCGAGAAACTGTCAGTCTTAGTCTCTCTCTCTCTCTCTCTCTCTCCACATATATGTACTGTTATATCTATTGGTTTTATGATTTAGTTATCCTTTTTAATAATCGAATGATGACCATAAATTCAGAAATGCTAGTTGAACGGATACGAGCATCTGGGTTTGCTGTGCTTACTAAAATTTCATTTCTGGATGTTGTTGAAGGACAAGAATGAAAATTTTAATATTGTTGAAAGCAAATGGAAAATTTTAGATGGATTATGGATAATTTTTCTTATTCTGGTAAATGAAAGAAGTTGTTTGGTGTTAGATATATAGGCGTATATGCGATGAAAAAATATGAATGTTAGAAAAGTTTTCTAATTTGTTCGAAATTTATCTTTTGAGGAAGTAAATTAAATTATAGAGATCCAGATTGTAATCATATCCAAAATCACCAGTTATGCATGTGGCAACTTATGTATTTGCATTTGCCTAATGTGACAATTTAGAGGAAGAGAAGAAAGAAAACGAAATATAGTAAATAATAATTACAACTCTTTATATTTCTTGATGTAGGTTTTTGGGGTTGTGTGGGAGCCACTTATAGCAAAAGAGCGAGTCTCTCCCCATATGATTTTACTAGAATTATAAATTTCTTCACGAGCAAGAAAGTTCTTAGCCTACTGGTGACCGGCTTTTGAAATGCAGTTCAGTACCATTGGGTTCTTTCTAGTTGGTACTGTTTGTGGGTTGCAAGTGTTTTGTATATAGTCATTGTTTTTGAATCACATAAAGCTTTGTGAGATTAATGGGAAGACCAAAGGGATATTGGTTGGTTTAGAGTGTAGACTTTTAGTGTATGCTTTTTGTTGGAAAAGTAGATCTACATGGGTATAATGGTGGAATAGGATTTTGGAGTCACGCAGTTGAACCAAAATCTTCTGGCTTTGAACAAATATTTTGGTGAATTGTATTGATCAAGGATCTAATAAAGATCTATTGTTTTGAAATAATGCCATAGCATGGCCATCTTGACAAAATCCGTACACCCTTCTATACACGCTTCCCATGGAGTGCAATTGCATCTGATAACCATTTTCCCTATGAATTGTTGTAAAGAGATTATCATACCAAATAAATCTTTGGATTTATGAAAACAAAAAGAAGTCAGTAGTTGACTAGTTTTAGCTAAGAAATGATTTGAGCTACTTGAATTCGGCTCGGGCTCAACTCGTTTTAGCTCGTTCATAACTCGTTTTAGCTCATTCATTTTACAAAACAGGGCAAATATGAACAATTTTTTGGGCTCGTATGAAATTCGAGTTGAGCCCTAACCAAGCTCGAAAGGCTCATTGGGCTCAATTTACTATTCATCTGTCACATTATGTGTTCAATTTGTCCCTTAGTGTATAGGCAAATAATAAGGATTGTTTAGGGTATATGGGAAAAACATCAAATCCTATCAAAATGAATAGAAAATTTGATGATATCGCTTGGTGTCTGAGCCATTTTAGAGGGCTCTCTCTCTCTACCTTGAGTCACAAACCCTGAAGTCTCTCTCTCTCTTTTTTCTGATACCAATGTCTCTATCCTTCTTCAGCTGGGTTTTCTCCCATCTCCATGACCTCTTTCCTTTTTCTCTTCTACATCTTGAAGACTCTATTCTTCCCTCATCCATAGAAGCCATGACAGTGTATCACATGTGCGTTGCACGTAGATTATTTCGAGTTATTATAAATTTTTATTTACTACTTTTATAATAAAATATTGCTTGGTCAAATTATAGTTAAATAACCATACTAGAATTTCTAAGAATGCAATGCTCATGTGTGTTGCATATAAACTATTTTAAATTAGTATAACAATTTGTAGTTTTTTTTTTGTTTTTAGGCATCTTACAAATATCAAACCCTATATTTTATTGTAGATCTGTAAACTGATGGCTCAGTTGCGTAGTGGAGGTCAGACCAAATTCAAGCAATTGATTATCACAATACAAATTAAAACAATCAAGGAGAACAATTCATATGTATGACAAATAAATAATAATGCATAGATCTAAAATTGTTGAAAATTTTGGATGGGCCCAGACCAATAGTTGAACTTGCAAATTGGCTGATGGAGAGTGAAATCCCGTTCTTCAAATTAAAAAACAACGCACAGACATAACTTTGAGGAAATTGTTTAAGTCTCCTTCATCAAATTATGTACAACAACTATACTGGTGAAAGGCAACCAAAACAAATTAAAATGTCCAACAAATATCTCTACTAAAATGTTTGGTTGTAATTCATATTCGTGATAATTATAATATCATTTTTTATCGTTATTACTCTAAACAAGCAATTTATTAGACTTTTTAACGGTAACCAAATTTCAACTATTCTTCAGGATGCTAATACACACGGTGTGTTTGTGCCTGATTTCTCCGTAAAAGTTCAATTTTGCTGGTATCATAAAATTTGGGATGAATTCGCAAATAAAAAAAAACTTATAATAGATATCAATTGAAGAGTAATACCACAAAAAGTAGAGATGCACCAAACGTTGAGATGTAGAGAGAATTGAATGCATGATTAAAGCTGCAGAGAAAGATAGGGAGATGGAGGAGAACATCGAGAGTTTTTGGAAGAAATAAAGAAGAGAGAGAAAGAGGTCTGGTTTTTTTTGAGTGGGGGAAGATGAAGATGAAACGAGGGGGAGAGAGAAGATTAGGAGGCATAGGATTTTTTTTGGAACATGAGGAGGTTTAGGTTTATTTTGGCTTTAATGTTGAGGAATAAGAATGAGATAGTTGTAATTTTGAAGGATAAAAGTGAATTTTTTTTTTTAAAATATGTTCACTTTTTAAAGTAGTATAGATGAATANTAACCATACTAGAATTTCTAAGAATGCAATGCTCATGTGTGTTGCATATAAACTATTTTAAATTAGTATAACAATTTGTAGTTTTTTTTTTGTTTTTAGGCATCTTACAAATATCAAACCCTATATTTTATTGTAGATCTGTAAACTGATGGCTCAGTTGCGTAGTGGAGGTCAGACCAAATTCAAGCAATTGATTATCACAATACAAATTAAAACAATCAAGGAGAACAATTCATATGTATGACAAATAAATAATAATGCATAGATCTAAAATTGTTGAAAATTTTGGATGGGCCCAGACCAATAGTTGAACTTGCAAATTGGCTGATGGAGAGTGAAATCCCGTTCTTCAAATTAAAAAACAACGCACAGACATAACTTTGAGGAAATTGTTTAAGTCTCCTTCATCAAATTATGTACAACAACTATACTGGTGAAAGGCAACCAAAACAAATTAAAATGTCCAACAAATATCTCTACTAAAATGTTTGGTTGTAATTCATATTCGTGATAATTATAATATCATTTTTTATCGTTATTACTCTAAACAAGCAATTTATTAGACTTTTTAACGGTAACCAAATTTCAACTATTCTTCAGGATGCTAATACACACGGTGTGTTTGTGCCTGATTTCTCCGTAAAAGTTCAATTTTGCTGGTATCATAAAATTTGGGATGAATTCGCAAATAAAAAAAAACTTATAATAGATATCAATTGAAGAGTAATACCACAAAAAGTAGAGATGCACCAAACGTTGAGATGTAGAGAGAATTGAATGCATGATTAAAGCTGCAGAGAAAGATAGGGAGATGGAGGAGAACATCGAGAGTTTTTGGAAGAAATAAAGAAGAGAGAGAAAGAGGTCTGGTTTTTTTTGAGTGGGGGAAGATGAAGATGAAACGAGGGGGAGAGAGAAGATTAGGAGGCATAGGATTTTTTTTGGAACATGAGGAGGTTTAGGTTTATTTTGGCTTTAATGTTGAGGAATAAGAATGAGATAGTTGTAATTTTGAAGGATAAAAGTGAATTTTTTTTTTTAAAATATGTTCACTTTTTAAAGTAGTATAGATGAATATGGTGATCTACTTGTGAATTTTGATTGGATTTTGAATTTTTGGTGTTAGGGTTTGCATTTATATTTATATTTTTCTAAAGTTTATGTGAAATTTATGATTTTTGAGTTGAGTTCTGTGAAATTTCTCCATTTGGATGTGACATTTTTGGTTTGGGACTCTTGGATTGGAGATTTGAGATATACGATGTGTGGCTTTGAGGTTTAGTCTTCGAGCTTGAACAAAAATTTGGGCTTGACATCTGAGCTCTAGCCAAGCTTGAGTAGTCCTTATATGACCGAGCTGAGCCAGAGCATATCGAAGCTCGAGAGACTTGGCTTGATTATCACCCCTATGCTTGATGTTTTACATTTAGAACATACATTACAACATTTACATCATTCCTCTCAACTCAATACTCTTTTCTCTTGGTGCTAAACCTTAGAGTGGATCATTTGCTATCCTGAGTACGTCAAAAACAAAACATAAAATGGGGGTTGAGCTAACTTGCTTGTGAGTATACATGACCCTTTTAACAGAGAACAAAATCAAGCTCAACATTCAAGAAAACATTCAGAATTAGGAGTACTTTCCATAAGACCATAACATAAGCACTTCCTTGGATCCAAACACTTTGAACATAGAACTTTACATATCATGGCTAGTCATTCAAAACCTGTAAGTTCAGCTTTCACCTGCCTCACTGTACCACAAGGTCAATACTGGCTCCAAACTCGACCACTTTTGTAGAGTAGAAGCTGAAGTTGAAAGATCTTCTTCTGAATGTAACAAATTGCAGTGAGTTTAAAGTAAGAGACATGCATTTGAAGGCAATTCAATGTATTATCCTAGCTATTTAGGAAAAGTGCAGGATTTCCACCGAAGTTTGGGGTGTTCCTGACTCAAAAAAAAAGAAAAAGAAAGAATAACTCAATTTTACACACTGCAGGAACTTACTAGTTGGATGTTTGATGAGCTGGTCGACCACCACTGCAGGTTGGTTGACTAGTCTTGTGACTGGATTAAAATTCAGCTTCTCACCTTCATTCTATACAACCTCGAACCATCCCAACTCATCAATAATCCATTCCAGCCGCTTCACATCATCTTCAATTTTCCGTTATTCACTTACAAATGCTTGACAACTCATCAATACAGATTCTATATGTATGCCGTGTCAGGGGATTTTATGCCTTCTGTAAAGTAGTTGTTGGCTTAAACTCAGTTTCCATCGAGTTCCTTCCAAGATTCAACTCTATCGTACCAAGCTTAACAGTGAAACAGAGTAACAAAACAAGGTTGGAGAGCATGAGAAAAACTGGAGCTTAGCTAGGAAGAAGCTGGATTTTGCTTTACAATAGAAGGTATTCAGATAAGTATTACCTAAATTACCCTTTCCTGTCAATTACTTGGCAATTGACTCTTTAACCCCCATAACTCTCTAACAAACATAACACTTAACCTGCAAAAATTTCTAAATTGTTATGAATGCATGACCAGGGTCATGCATGTGGCACTTCATATTTTTCTCCTTCCATTCCCCCTTTGTTTACTATGTCAGAGGAGATATCATTCTGATTTTGAGTTATCTGCATTATATATGGCATTATTTTGAGAGGTGAACAACTTCAATTCTAGTATGCACATTGTACTTGTTATTGTTTGGATTTTAGAAAGAAAGAGTGATTTCATATTGGAGTTGTTTTATCCATGGGAAGCAAGAGTTTTGGGTGTCAAATTTACAGTATACGTTTTTTAATTCTTAAATACTACCTTCATTTTCTCTTTTTAGCAAAAATTAACACTATCTTCTATCTTTGTAGGACAAAACTTAGTTTGACAAGGTGGAGTGCTGATTGGAAGAGTGCCACTGGTTTGTATGAGCAGGCTGGTGGGTGATTTATGTATGCTGTGGTTGACATTGCGTTCATTAATAATGTAACATGAGTGTCTACTTGTCATTGTTAATATCAGGAAGGAGTTAGAAGAAAATTTAATATGAAAATTTCATGCATATTTTGGGATTTCTGCTTATATGTTTTTCTTCAATTGTAGCTAATGCATTTAGGCTTGCCAAAAAGTATGAGAAAGCAAAAACAGCATTTGAGAAAGCTTCTAAAGGACAAGAGATGCTGTCTTCGTATCCTCATTTTTTAGTGACTTTACCCATCCGTTGGGTAATCCTTCACCTTGTGTTCGAATGTATTCATCTACTTTGAAGTTCTATCCTTGACAACTGAACAGGCCCTGGGACGCTGCTAAACACATGGAGTCTGCTGCTTCTCTGGCAAAGGATTTAGGTAAATGGAATGAAGTTGCTGATTTTTACAGAAGGGCATCTGAGTTGTACACTGAGTGTGGGAGGCCTCAACCTGCTTCAGATGCTCTTGCAAAAGGTGCTCGGTCGGTATCTTCTTTACCCTCTTGTTTTATGGCTTTCGGTCTTACCTTTGTCTAATAATTTGTTTTCAATGGCATCTGGAGACACTTTTATAAGTGATTTGATGCCTTTAAACATCTATTGATATTCCCATCTGGGAAAAGTTAGTTCTGTTGAGGGCCTAAAATTATTGCAAATAAATTGTTGTCTTCTAAATTTCTTTCTTCTTGTACCATAAGATATAAAAGTGATAATCCAGCATGCAACTCATCCCAATGTTGCTTCCCTTATAATTTCATGATTGCCAGCAGTTTGCCTATGAAATTGTTAGTATTTAAAGTCATCAATATATGATCTATTTTATTGCAGTGCTTTGGAAGAAGCTGCACCTGAGGAAGCTATTCAGCTGTATACTGATGCTTGTGACATCCTTGAAGATGATGGCAAGGAACAAATGGCCTTCGATCTATATCGTGCTGCCACAAGTGTGTATATAAAGCTTGAGAAGTAAGGAGCTGTTTTTTATGTCTAAAACCCAACTGAATTAGTGATGGACGCCTTATTTTATTATTCTAAATTTTCTTTTGATCCTACTAGCAATGCATCATGTGTATTGCATGTAAAAAAATTTCATAAAAAAATTTTGGACGAAATTTCAATAGAAACATGAATCATACATGTAACTAAATTGAATATCATCTCATATTTGTCAGACTTATACTAAATTGTCCATATTATTTTATCAATCACAAGAATTCTACAAATTAACTCATTGAAAAAGGATTATATCTAGATCAAGTTCGTATTCCCTTACCAACTAGGTCTAGAAGTATTTGATGTGTTTTTGTTCGAATCATCTGAATGGAATTAGATTTTTCCATTCCTTGTGTTCTTTGTCTTTTTTGTTTTTGTTTTGTATCTCCATAATTATTTGCTTAGGATTAGTTAGATTCTAGCTGTTGTTAAAAGGTAGATATGTTATTATAAGCATTTGCTCATTACACTATGAAATTAATAATTGTTCCTAATTATTTTAACACAAAATAAAGAGTGATAGTGAATTATATATGAAGAGATAGGAGATAAGAAAAAATATTCTTTGTGGGATAAAAAATGCTTAGAAATTGAAAAGATGAAAAGATAACTATGTAGGCTTTTGCGCATTTGGGGAACATATCGTATTGATGGAGTTGTTGAAATTTTTTTGGAATATTTTACTAAAAAAATAATGTTGCCTTTACATATATTTGAATGGTAATGTGGTCATTTGAAAGTTTTTCAACATTTGACATATATAGTATAGATATGCAGATTTATGAAAGTAATTAAGATGATAGAGAAGGATATAAGGGTGGTTTGGATATTTATATACAATAGGACATTTTAGCCTCTGTAATTTCTAAGGCTATCTCTAATCGTAACTCAATTTTTTACTCGAATTTGAGCAAAAAGTGTGATTGGATACAAAAAACTCATTGAAGAAATTCAAATTTTTATTCAAATATTTTTATAAAACATCCATATTATCCCAATCATTTATTTCTTTCATTCTTCATTTTGATTATCCCTTTCACTACAAATCTCCTTCTCTCCCTATTTGATCATATTGTAACTCTCTATAAACAAGTGAATATTGTTTGCTTTTTGTCTTGTTATTTCTTGTGTTTTTTTTGTCTTTCAAACAAATACATAATCTTTGATTGCTAAAATTTAAAGAGACATAATTTAATCTAAGCTTGACAAATGATACCTTTGGCGAATGATTTGAGTTTAGCAAAGTCATAATTTTTGAACTTATCAATGAATTTAAAAAAAAATTAAAAAATAAGAAAGACAAAGATATAATAGAGAGATACATAGAGGAGAGTGAAATATGATTATTAGATCTTTAAAAGAGGATAAAATCTAACTATCAGAGATTTGAGTAAAGATTGAGTCTTCCTTGATTTGAGTAAAAATTTGAGTCTCTCATCAGTTGGTATGAATTTGAGTAAAGGACCTGACCTTGTTTTTAGCATGTTTTTTCTCAAATTTAAATGTGAGTTAGAATTTGAATATGGGTTGGAGATGCCTGATAAAAAAATTGTGAATCAAAAGTTTTTTGTATTAAGATACTTTTTGTTGTATAATATGTATTATCGAAATGAATATGAATCTTTGTTCTATTTGTAATTTTTGGCTATTAACTTAATAAATTTTTCACTTACTTGGCTTGCGGTGCAAATCTTCTCTGCTAGTTCTTTGTCAAAATACATGCAGTTACCAAGTCATGTAATTGATAGAAGGATGGTCTTTCTCCAACTTCCTGCAAATAAGTAGTAAGACTAGGTCTGTATATAGTCGGTTCTCCTTCTAGTACCTTGCTCATTGGCAGGAATAAGACTGAAATGGATCTTTGAAATTCCTTTTCTTTTTTCTGGTCCAAGCACATTATTTGAGCATCTGTTGTCTTATGTTGGCCTGTAATGCATTTAAAAAATCGACCTTTAAAATCTAGAAGAAAATTAGATTTGACTTTTGTCATCTGTGAGAGAGAGGTATCAAAAACTTCTAAGTAAATGATCTTTCATATTATTTTCCAAGTATTGCAACTGCGAAAGGGTCATGATTAAAAGATTAATTGATTGCCACTTTTTAGAATATTCTGAAACTCTATAATATACCCCTTGTTTTTTTCTTCTTCTTTGAAATCAGAAGTTTGGGTCATTGTTCAGAATTTGTGTTGCTTTACCTTCAATCATCGTGTCTCTTGGTTCTCCATATTGTATGATTTAAAAATTACAATGGCACGCATTAATTTAATTCACTTATTTTGATACCAGAAAACGAATTAGCTTCAAGACTTTCCTTCTTTGAGGTGACTTGATTTGTGTCGGAATCAGGAAAATGTCAAATGATTATGGGAAATCATACGTCTGAATATATATACACTATTGACCAGCTGTTTCGGATGTTTTGCTTTACATTGATAGTTTAGAGCTATTGTAAGTTATCTTAATCTCATATCCTTTAGAAACCTCTCTGGCGTGATTGGAAATTACAGTTGCATGGATCCATTTGAATCTGACTATCTTTTTGTTTCTAGAGAGCATTCAATTTTTCCACCCTTCTCTTCCTTGAGGTGCCCTATTAGATTAAATTATGATGGTCTTCAAGTCATGGTTAATGGGGATTTCATTTGTTTACGAGGCAATTGTAAACATTAAAAGTCAACTATTAAGTCTTCTGATCGGATATGAGTATTAATACAATTTATGTACATGTTACCAAGGCCTTTTGAACTAATGTTATGCCAATGCTTGTTCAATATGAATTGGTAGATTGAATCTCAGATTGTAATGCATCAAAACGAATCTTTGCAATTCATAACGGAAGCCTCATAATTCACATTTTAGATTGGTTTCTTATGATTCTGTTATCTATTGTGTTGACAATTAAGAAAGCCCCATTATAATCCAAGCCTGTTCTCTTCTCCAAGATAAGCTGTCTAAAGCACCTCTAAGGGTAAATATTGTTTGCCTCTTCTGTATTGTTGAGATCTGTAAATGCTTCGTTCAATATATATTCTCCCTCGTTACCCCTCTGTCTATTTCTCTCTTATGTCCTTTATCGCTTATTGCTTTATCGTCGCATATAGAGATGGTTTTGTGATGGCTGTTGTGTGTGTGAATACATATATAATATACATATATAGATATCTAATATATGTATAAATATATAAATAAAAAAGATTATGTTAAAAATATAGAAGAAATTGAATTTTCAAATATTGAAAATTAAGTTAAAAAGCTGGGATATACCCTAGTATCCAATTAAGAAAATATATAATATTGGAACTTTTGATTTTAAATTAAGCTTAACAATTAAAACGCTTGAAAGAACAATTCCATTTGATCAAATGCTAGAATTTCAATTTTATTTTTAAACGCTAGAAAGATCTTCATTTTGATCAAAGGGAATTGTTCTTTCTAGCGTTTTAATTGCTAGACTTGACTTAAAATCAAAAGTTTCAATATCATATATTTTCTTAGTTGGATACGGGGTAATATCCCAGTTTTGTAACTTATTTTCAATATCTAAAAATTCAATTTCTTTCATATTTTTAACATAATCATTTTTATGTTTATTACTTAGTCTAAATAGGCTTAATACCATGTTTTTTTTTCACACAGTTTCTGTTGACTTATATGCTTTACTGTTACCTTCATGTTGTTACAGTAATTCGTCTTTTAATTTTGCTATAGTAATGCTGCAATCTATGAAGCACGGATACTTAGTTGAGGTTGAAGTACTCGCATCGAATATGATATTCGTCGGATACTTGAAGATACGTATCGGATACACCTTCTATGTATCCGATAATAATTAAATATTAGGATACTTCACGGATACTTTTGTAGTCGAGCAACATATATAATTTTTTAGTTGAACTTTTAACATTTCTTTTCGAATTCACATACCATACAATATATTAACAAAAAATTTATATTACTTCAAAGGCACTTGAATGTTGTTTAAGTATTATCTACAATTACATGTCAAAAGAGTATAAAATAAAGCTATTACATTATAATCTTAACAAAAATTACTTCTAAATACTAGGTAAATATTAGTTTTGATTCCTTTAATTAGTCACTTCACTTTGTGAATATACTACAGCGACACAATATATATTTTCTTGAAACTAAAAAGAATTACTAATTTTCCTTATTATATGTTAAAGAATTACCTAAATATATAAGTATAAAGTTGGTTGAAAATAATAAAAATATTTTATTATAGTCGTATCTTGGTCGTACACGTATCTTACTTTTTTATACTTTTATCGTATTGTCGTATCTGTATCGTATCATATCGTACCCGTATTCGTATCTTATTTTTTTATACTTTGTCGTATTATCGTATCTGTATCGTATCGTATCCGTATCCCGTATCCGTATCCATACTTCATAGGCTACAATGACTTTTGCTGCAGTAATTCTGCTACAACAATTTTCTTCCTTTTTCCCACTCTTGTTGTCAACGATTTACTGGGAATAAAGACGGCCTCACTCCTATCTCTCGGACACGGCCTAACATCCCACATGCGACTTGGGTGTAGAACCATAGGAACAAAAGAAAATCATTATAACAGAATTAATGTAACAAATTCAAAATAACATTAGTATAACAGAATTAAATCACAATTACTTAAGTAACAAGAATTAATAATAGATCTAAATGTAAATCAACAGAATAAATTTAAGTTGCCATTACTTGGCTCTGATACCTATATATATATATATATATACATGGTCTTGTGAAGTTTGGCATGCTGGTAAAGATGGATGATCTTCGATATGTAGAAGAAAGTAGGAAATGACAATTTTTGAAGTTTGCAAACTTTGATGATGTTGCTTCTTTCTTGACTCCTTGTTTAGTGTTAAAGTGGCATTTTTTCACGTCTAACATGTTGAAGTTCCTCTTATTGATGCAAGCACTAAGTTCTACTTAATTGTTTTTACATTTATTGGCATAGCATGGGTCAAGTTTTACAAGGGAATATAGGTTTTATGTTATGTACTCGCTCATGTAGAATAATTAAATTATTAAAATCTTAAAGCCTTTGTTCTTGCATCTGTACCACTGTGTGCTGCTTTGCCATGCTTTTCAAATTTCAATTTGGCCATAATTCAAATTCCTGTTGGATCGTGTATGCCTATGGATGCAACATTCAGAAAATTATCTTATGAGCATAAGCATGGAGTGTCATCAACATGGTTCAAAGTCGCAGTATCGGTCATCAACTCGGAGGGCACTGATACACATCGGTCGCGGCGTCGCGGTATAGTATCGGCCGATACGCTCAAAACGCTAGATAAAAGCTCTAAAAAAATTTTAAAAAATCATAAATTTTTTAAAAAAAATATAAACATCATCGTCCATGCATCATATGCCCACAATAAATCAAAAAACACATTAAATATAATTAAAATGAAACATAAGGGCGTTACCGAAAATATTGATCATTATTAATATTCAACTAATTGAAATTGAAATATTAATATTGATATATCTAATTATTATATTAGATTTAAAAAGTACTGATGTTTTTTAGGATTAAAAAATATTAATATTTTTTATTTTTAAAAAATATTGATGTATCTAATCATTATATTAAAAAATATTTGATATTCTATCTTTGATTGAAGTATTTTTTGTCTAAGTATAATATTTTAAACTTAAAGGGCCTAAGTAATAAATGTTTACAAACTTTAGGGGAGTCTGAAAATAATTTATTAACTGATATATTTATAGCAGGGTCTATCTGTTTCGCTTGTACAAACTTTAAGGGTTTGTATATAATATTTCAAATATTAAGGGTCTAAATGATTAAGTGATAAATTTTAATGGGTGAGTGTAATTCTCCAAAAAAAATTGATTCACCGACAACAAAGTCTTTTATAACTCTGTTTGAGAGTCGGTCCTTCAGAGCTCAGTCTTCAGACGTTGTGTATGGAGAGAGAGAGAGAGTGGTTCGATACGCTGTGTATCGACGATCATTGGAAGACTGGTTTTCCCGACTACTTCTCTATCTATCACGACTAGTTTGCAGCAAAGAAGAACAGGGAAAAAAAATAAAAAAAGAGGAAGAAGATAAAGCGGTATGGGGATCTCTCTGATCTGTATTCAATTCTACAGGTATGTCATACAAATGCTTACAATCTTTGTGGTAGTGGGCCTTTGATTTTTAGACTGGTTGAGGGCCTTTTACAGATGTGAGTCTTGAATTCTTCATCTTTTTTCTTTTTATTTTGGATTCTTACTATTTGTTCAAGATTTTGGAGATTTTCCACAAGATTCGATCATACCGGACCGATTCCGCTATGAATCGTCCGATTCATACCGAGTTTCTCCGATTTGTGCCGATACGTCCGAGTCTGATCGAGATATTGCTGAGTCAAGTGAAAATCGGGATTTTTGCATAACGGGTATCCATATCTGATCGGTAGGGGCCGAGTCGTATCGGACTCGGCCGATACTTTGAACCATGGTCATCAACACATTGTCCTAATAGTGGCATGTCTTTTGATCTGAAATTCCTTTTTCTTTATGATTGACGACACGTTTATCGTTTTGTTACATACAGGTATACGGATGCTGCAAGTTGCCTATTGAGATGGGGCTTAGCAGCTGATAAGTGTAATGCTACCCATAGCCAGTGCAAGGTGTGAAAACTTCACATTATGGTGTTCCATTTCTTTTTATCCTCTTTCTTTGCTAATTTTTTCTTTTCCCCTCTCCAGTTTCAGATATCTGTCTTGAACACCTCACATGCTTCAACTGTTATGTATTTTCCTCTTGTTTTGTCTACTAGTCCTACTTTCACTGTTGAGTACCTTTGAAATGCTGCTGCCTTGCTCTTCCTTTTCCCTCCTAACATCCCTGGTATAAGTTCTAAGAAAAGAGAGTACATTTGTACCTTGATCCCTTTTCTATGACGGGGAAGCTTCCTATAGAGTGAAGCTTTGCCCCTAGATATAATACTATCTTCTTTCGTCTAATTGTCCTCTTCCTGTTAAGTGAATCCTCCTACTGGTATGTTTTTAATCATCTCGAATGCCTTATACTGAGTTATATCTTCTGGATATACATGCACCCACACATGTATGTATGTATGTATGTATGTGCATGCACTCATGCACGTGCGCACTTGTTAATTTTAGTGGGCTTGTATGTATGTACATATTTTACATGTATGATTTTAGCTAGTAGTTTGTTATGCTGATATTGCTGTCAAAAAGGAAGAGAAATGTGCTCAATCTCTTTTATGGAAAGGTCCATCCTGGCTTGTTTTGGACTTGGATGTGGATATGTATGGTAGGTTCAAGGTGGATTTGGTGATATTCTGTTGCCTATTTCAGGTTTGGGCTGGGACTAGTTTGATAAGCCTTTTCTTGAGACCATGGCATTACCATCATTCCCTTTTCGCTTTCTACTTCCACTTTTTGTCAGACAGTGGAGTTGGGGAACTTTTCCCATCCCATGGCTTACAACTTGATCTTCCATGGTTTCATTATTTACTTTTTCCTTGCTGGATGCGATGAGACTTCTGTACGTGCAGTTTCCATGCTAAACTACATTTTGTTTCTTTGTTGGAGTCCAGCTGATTTAGGATAGCTAGTGAAAGTTTTGGGTCAGGTGCCTTCAATGGATTTGGCTGTGGATTTAGGTGTTAAAGGTGCTAGTGTTCAATTTTACAAGTTAGAAGTGTCGGTCTAGTGTTTGCTGTGCTGAATTAACCTGATTTTCAGGATGTTTGCTCGCGCTGGGGGGGGGGGGACAGGCAAAGAAACGGCTCAGAAGAAAGAAATTGGGATTTCCAATGCTTCTCCACACTTCTTTTAGGGTTTGATGTTAAAAATTTAAAAGCTAAAATAGATGCTGTTCTGGGCCTTTGGGCAGTAAGACGAGAATGGTATTTTGGTATTTAGTTATTCTGGAGTTAGGTTTGAATCTTTGATGGTGGAACTGGTTTGGGTTTGTACAATAAGGATTTCAGGTGAAAAAGGGATGGCTTTTTTTTGATAGGAAACCAAATATTTTATTAATAATGAAAAGGAATTTTAGCAACAAAAAAGAGGGTGGACTAGAAGTCCAAACGTCTATTAACAGAAGACAAAAAACAGTGTAACAGAAGTAGGAATGAAATGACAGACACATAATTGTGTCCAAAATTACAAGTCACAAGCAGCCCTCCATCCGGCCAAAGTACAAACAAGTGGTATTCCTTCGAAGTCCTTAGTGATTGAGGCCTAGAATGAAGCCAAGAAGAATATACAGTTCCATAAATCTTCTACCATGTAACATCTGTCTTCAAAAATCCAAGCATTCGTCTCCATTTAAATGACCCAAACCGTAGCAAAATAATGCACAATTCCATAGTGTATCTCCTTTGGGATGTTTCCCAAATCCTTTGAAGTCCCCCATAGACAAAGTGGAGAAGGACCGAGGATGCATCTAGCTCAATCCTGCCAATGAAAACAACTTGTTCTACAAAGATAAAGCCATAGGGCAATGGAAGAATAAATGATTAACACTTTCGCCATCGCCCCAACACATCACACACCACAGTGGGAAAAGATAAAATTTTTTCTCCTTTGTAGCATATCATTAGTTTGAATCTTACCATGCCCAATAGTCCATGCAAACACTTTCACCTTACTAGGCACCTTAGCCTTCCATATCATAAATCAATTTGAGAAAATAGAACAAGATGGATCATCAATCAAGAACTCAAAAAAGGATATGCAAGAAAATACACCCGAAGACTTAAGGATCCACCTTCTTTTGTCTAGAGAATCGTGATTAATGTGCACATTATCACGCAATGAAAGAAGAGACACCATGTCAAGAGTATCCCTATCATTTAAATTTCTACGAAAACCAAAATCCCAAGAAGAATGTAAACTCAAACAAATCATAGAAATGATAGACACATGAGTTTGAGATATCCGGTAATGTCGAGGAAACAAACATGGCAATGAAGATTCCCCTAACCAAAATCCTCCCAAAACCAGTTTTTTTCCCCATTATCCACAACAAAGCTAACATGAAGAGAAAACCGAGGTATCCTTAAGAAATAAATTTCCATGGGCATCATAAACTCCCCCATTCTACCTCATTAGCATGTAACTCATATTTGCTCTTGATCATTGAATGCCATAGAGAATCTTATTCCAAAGGAAATCTCTAAAGTCATTTGCCAACTAAAGCTTCATTTCTTATTTTTAAATTGCTAACCGTGAGACCCCCTTTTTCCTTAGATCTAGAGACCACCTCCCAACTCACCAAATTGTCCTTCTGTCCTTCTCCACTTTCTTCCCACAAGAAATCCCTAAACATTTTTTGCAACCAACCTTAGCAAAAAAGTTAACCTACCCCCTTTGGATATGAAGGCTCTCTTCCATCCATTAAACTTATTCCCTATTCTTTCAATGATAGGATCCCAAAAAAGTCATAACTAATGGGTTACCACCCAAAGGAAGTCCAAGATACTTAAGGGGTCACTCTCTCATATTTTTTTTTTGCCTAAGGCTTGTATTGTGAATCTACTTTTGTTATCTAGATTTTATTTCGATTTCTAGACGTGCCTAGAATAGTCTAGAGTCAAAAGGTCTTATTTTCCTAATTGTGATGCGATTGTCCTGGTAGTATGAGGAGATATCATCAACCTATAAACACTTTTGTTTTTATTAAATTATATGAATAGAATTTAGTAACTTGAATTTCTTGAAGCTTGCCATTGCTACTTCATGCAACCCATTTTAGCAATTTTGGAAAATACCGTATTCCCCTCGACTCATGAACATAAGAACACATCAAAAATATTTTCAGCAGCTTATCAACCCTAAACTAACATCGAATAAGGGTGATTCTACGATATTTCTGACACGTTGCAAAGATGGCTTCTTGCAAAATTCAGATTTTCCCTTCTTCCTAAGCAAACCTGTTGCAATCTGCAACGCCCGCAGTTGTGTTGTCCTTTTATAGATCCCCAATTGTTTGGTTGGCAATACAAATGCAATATTATTTAGCTGGAATTCTTTCCTTATGTGGTATCTGAAGGATGCCCCGAGGATGACCATGGTTAATGCTTCTCTATATGTGAAATTATGCGTGATAGGAATCTTGAGACTGAAAAAAAGATTAACTAGTCTCCAGTATCCTTCATGGCTTACAAGAGGTCTACTTAGTCCAATGGAGACAAATATGTGAATCATGTAATTACGAAATGGCTTAGGAAATAGGAAAAAGACGAGAGAAACGAAGTAAGTATAAACAATGAGGGAAAGAGTTGGAGATGGATAGAAAGAAAATGCTACTGAAATTTGGGGTACTAGGTTTTACCAGAATCAATTTTGTGTATTTTGCGTAAATGCTTCAACGCTGTGCGGGTTGCTCTGCTGCGCAGTTCTGAACTCATGTTTTGGCAATTCAACGCTCTGTAATCACTCAAACGCGTATTGTTGAACTGTGAATTGAGTACCGAGTAGCAGAGCAACTTGAGCACTGCGTTGAGGCTAAGCAAAGCAATCCGATCGCAACATTCACAATGAGAAAATTATGAAATATTTTTTGGTGTTGAAACTGAATAATAAACTTTTTTGATTCTTTTGTATACAGTGCCTTCAAAATAAATGAGATCCTGAAAGAGTATTAAGATTTGGAATTAACTGGAATGTTTGCTGAATTCAGATTTGGACAACTGAAACCTTTTTACCCACTTTTATGATGCGGACTTCCAGATTGATTGAGGTTGAATTTGATATTTAACTCTATGACAGTTACAAAATGTATCTTAGGTTACCACTTTTGAGAGTCACAAGTGACTTTTGATATGTTAACGGCAGAGATGAAATAAGATGTGTCAACAAAATTTGTTCGTATTTGGATGCCCTTGTACATACAAGAAATGATCAGACCAAGGTGTGGCTTAATATCCTGACAGACTCTTTTTGCCAACAGTTTTAAGAAACTGCTCAAAAGATTACATGGCGGACAATGCTGATTAGATATGGAAAGATGCTGCTACTATTTTGTTGTTTAGTTTGTGCCTGAATCCCATGTTGATGATGTTAATCACTTTGCGAACTTGTTTATCTAATTTCTTAGAATTTCTGTCTGGGCAAAAGATACTTTAACATGTCTTTTCTTTTTTTTTTTTTGTTTGTAGGCCTATCTTAGTGCAATCATGGTGTACCTTTATGCTCATGACTTCAAGCAAGCAGAGAAGTGTCATAATGATTGTTGTCAGTAAGTTAAAATTCTCCCTTCATTATCTGACAGGATGAATGCTAAAAACTTTGTTTTGGCTGTCAGTTTCTAAGTAGGGTTTCTTTGAATTATAGGCCCTCGATATGCATAAAAGGTAATGCCCAGTTTAGTCTTCATTCATGGTGTCTGGGAGAGGTAGATTGGGTACAGATGTAACTTTTGAAATTTTTTGCACAAAAATGATTGACCTCAAGTTTGGACGCACAACCTCAAGAGTATTGGGTCAAATGTTAGCCACTGAACTTGATATGCACGAGTTCTCTTATTCTTTTGAGTAATAATAAAGCAATGCTAGTAGAGAAATTGGTCAACAAAATGGAAGCCAAAATTTCTTGGGGGATGCAAGTGGCTAGAGGGAACCATAAAAGAAGGTTCTGCCCTTGCTGTACAAACCTGATAGTAACTAAATATTGTACTCTTCCATGACCAACATAAATCAGCGAATCTGAAGAAAGAGCACCATATAAAGTTTAGGTCTACCTAATATTCAGTATCTCAAGGAAAATTTGGACCACCCCTGAATTGAGGTGGATATAAGAAGGTTTCTTTTTGGGTTTTAACAACAGGTGGAGTGTAACTTGAAGCTGTTGTTTATATTTGATTGTCCTATGTATATGGTTATCATTAGATGCAAGATTTTTCATTGTAATTCTGTTTGGCTTGGGAGTAAGAGATCAACTGAACTTTAGTGAAGGTGAAGCGCTGATGATGTGCTAGATTGACTCTGATCTACGGTGTAACTAATGCTCACAAATGATACCAATGAGTGCCTAAAGCTTTGGTAGAATGTGAGGCGACTAGTGACAAAGGAGGATTGATGGAGTTGACTGTCAGTAGTGGGCCAAAACCAACAGGTGTTGGCGTGTAATGGGTGCAGAATAAACGGTGGTTGGCTAGCAGAGAACTTCCAATCAGTTAGTTTTGGCTGCTAAATCCCCTTTGTGATGAGATATCTGCCGTCAAAGGTTTATTATTTTATAGTTGGCAAACCTATTCTAGGATAATTTACCAAATGGACAATTCTTTTGTTGGTGATAGCAATAAAATGGAGTGAGTTGTTGTTGTGTTCTATGTTATTTCTAGTTTAAGGATATTTTAGTATTTTGTGAATATATATAAAAGTTGAGTGTTGTTATGTAACCTAGCACACTACACCCTTCCTGTATTCTTCTTCTCCTCGCTTCCTCTCTTCTCTAAACCCTAACGACTTGATAATCCAATTTGGTGTCAGATCTTCGATCAAATCTAACGCCTCAAAGTTGTCGAAATTAATCGAAAATCACCTTGCGTAACCAACAATGCTACCAGCCAAACGCTGACATCTGCATGTGACAAGTTGATATCAGCAACAAAACTTATCAAAAAATTCGATTTTCACAGCGATGGAACGACTCCTCTCCTAGAATTTTATGGTTACTTTTCTGAATATTTTTGAAACAATCTGACTGACCTTTCAATATTTTGAATGTTTTTTTGAGATTTTTGACCCTAAATCGAGTTCTACGAATTTTTGAGCAATATAAGTGCTCTTTTTTAGTTAAATTTGTTTGAATTGATAATATACAAGTCTGTGACCATACCAAATAGTTGCTCCCATCCAATTTCTCCGGGCTAATTTGTAGAANCTCATGACTTCAAGCAAGCAGAGAAGTGTCATAATGATTGTTGTCAGTAAGTTAAAATTCTCCCTTCATTATCTGACAGGATGAATGCTAAAAACTTTGTTTTGGCTGTCAGTTTCTAAGTAGGGTTTCTTTGAATTATAGGCCCTCGATATGCATAAAAGGTAATGCCCAGTTTAGTCTTCATTCATGGTGTCTGGGAGAGGTAGATTGGGTACAGATGTAACTTTTGAAATTTTTTGCACAAAAATGATTGACCTCAAGTTTGGACGCACAACCTCAAGAGTATTGGGTCAAATGTTAGCCACTGAACTTGATATGCACGAGTTCTCTTATTCTTTTGAGTAATAATAAAGCAATGCTAGTAGAGAAATTGGTCAACAAAATGGAAGCCAAAATTTCTTGGGGGATGCAAGTGGCTAGAGGGAACCATAAAAGAAGGTTCTGCCCTTGCTGTACAAACCTGATAGTAACTAAATATTGTACTCTTCCATGACCAACATAAATCAGCGAATCTGAAGAAAGAGCACCATATAAAGTTTAGGTCTACCTAATATTCAGTATCTCAAGGAAAATTTGGACCACCCCTGAATTGAGGTGGATATAAGAAGGTTTCTTTTTGGGTTTTAACAACAGGTGGAGTGTAACTTGAAGCTGTTGTTTATATTTGATTGTCCTATGTATATGGTTATCATTAGATGCAAGATTTTTCATTGTAATTCTGTTTGGCTTGGGAGTAAGAGATCAACTGAACTTTAGTGAAGGTGAAGCGCTGATGATGTGCTAGATTGACTCTGATCTACGGTGTAACTAATGCTCACAAATGATACCAATGAGTGCCTAAAGCTTTGGTAGAATGTGAGGCGACTAGTGACAAAGGAGGATTGATGGAGTTGACTGTCAGTAGTGGGCCAAAACCAACAGGTGTTGGCGTGTAATGGGTGCAGAATAAACGGTGGTTGGCTAGCAGAGAACTTCCAATCAGTTAGTTTTGGCTGCTAAATCCCCTTTGTGATGAGATATCTGCCGTCAAAGGTTTATTATTTTATAGTTGGCAAACCTATTCTAGGATAATTTACCAAATGGACAATTCTTTTGTTGGTGATAGCAATAAAATGGAGTGAGTTGTTGTTGTGTTCTATGTTATTTCTAGTTTAAGGATATTTTAGTATTTTGTGAATATATATAAAAGTTGAGTGTTGTTATGTAACCTAGCACACTACACCCTTCCTGTATTCTTCTTCTCCTCGCTTCCTCTCTTCTCTAAACCCTAACGACTTGATAATCCAATTTGGTGTCAGATCTTCGATCAAATCTAACGCCTCAAAGTTGTCGAAATTAATCGAAAATCACCTTGCGTAACCAACAATGCTACCAGCCAAACGCTGACATCTGCATGTGACAAGTTGATATCAGCAACAAAACTTATCAAAAAATTCGATTTTCACAGCGATGGAACGACTCCTCTCCTAGAATTTTATGGTTACTTTTCTGAATATTTTTGAAACAATCTGACTGACCTTTCAATATTTTGAATGTTTTTTTGAGATTTTTGACCCTAAATCGAGTTCTACGAATTTTTGAGCAATATAAGTGCTCTTTTTTAGTTAAATTTGTTTGAATTGATAATATACAAGTCTGTGACCATACCAAATAGTTGCTCCCATCCAATTTCTCCGGGCTAATTTGTAGAAAGAGCAATTGGTTGCTAGAGCACCTAAACAGCTCAACTCGCTTCCTCTAATACTTACCCCGACATTAGTAGACATCGCACTATCTTCTGACATATTTACACAATTAGACCAACACAAATAGCAAACAATCACAAAAAATCACTGCCAAAAAAGTAGCCCACAACCAAAAATCAACTCCAATACCAGCCAAACAATATATGTGCAGCAGCTTAAAGCAAAAGAAGAGTCGAACAGCCTCGGTATAGTGTCCAAAGTCCAAACCGATAGCTGATCAGGCCTAAACAGTGATGTTGACACCCTATTAGGGCTAATAAAAACTCAAAAATCCCATGCAAATGCAACAAAAAGCTCTGGGCAAATCCAAGTTAGCCCTCATCTAGGAGGATCTTTTTTTGAACCGTCCGCTACACTTCCGTTGCCCTTGTTCCATGGCTGAGCAAGTGAGTCAGGTACTTCCTTAAAGCAGTGGACATCTAAGAATGCTTTGGTTGTTTAACTCTATATAACCGTCAATCATTTGTAGTTTTTTGATGCTTGATACAACACGTAAGATTCGGATTGTTATATCCCATATGTATTCTCAACGAGGCAATGGTCCTAAGACATATGATCTTCGGAAGAAAGTCCTATAGACTAATCAGAAAAATAAGACCTTTGCAATTTATTTTGCAGAGTTGACTATCTTGTGGCAGGAGCTTGACTATTACTAGAGTTTCTAAGCAGATTGTGCTAATGATGCTGTTGAGTTTCAATAGATGGTGTGAAAAGAATTAGTGTGTGACTTTTTTGTTAGTCTTAATATTGAGTATGATCAAATTCATATTCAAATTTTGGGTTCTAATTCATTTTCTACTTTGCAAGAGGCTTAAGTCCATGTTCAGCCGGACCAGAGCCTGAGGATTGCTATGGTTTATGCTCCTACTTAGGAATAGTATGTGTTGGTAGTTATCCCTTAGCGTGACATGAGTCTAGCCTTGCCCAAGTTTACTGAGACGTTATTGCTAAAGATACCTTAAAATGTGACCACGGTTCAAAGTATCGGCCGAGACCGATATGACTCGGCCGAGTTGTATCTGCCTCGGCCACCAACGATACGATATTGATACGCGTTACGAAAAAATACGATTTTCATCTAATTCGGTTTCGAATCGGCAGTTCGGTACAACTCGGCCCCAACTCGGTTCAACTCAGTTGATTCGGCTGATTTCCATCTGAGTCATACCGATTTGGATGCGAATTGTTCGACCACACCAAGAAAATAGAATGTGCCAAAAAAAGGCAAAACGGAAAAAGTAGCAGGATTTTACCCCAGTTGTTTTGAGCCCTAAATCAGAATTTTTTGCCATTATGTAAACAGATTGAGTAAAGAGAATTAACAACACATACCCGTAAATCCTCTAAAGAATCACCTTTCTCAGTTTTCAGTCTTACAGAACTATTTCTTCTTCTTCTTTGGAGCAGATACACATCGTTGAAACCTTAGATCACTGGCAGCGGAGCATATCGATCGCAGGTAACAAAGCTTCGAGTTCCATGTGATATTTGTGATCTCTCTCTCTCTCTCTCTCTCTCTCTCTCTGTGTCGCTCACGCTGTCTCTCTAGCGCCCCAGTTCGCTCTCTTTCTCTGTGTTTGTTCGTCTAACTCCCCCCTTATCTCTCTCT